AGGATTAATATCTTTCATCACCGACATATATTAACAGTAGATAAGGATTCATAAACCGAAACATATATTGATTAATTCTCTATTTTTACAATAGTAGTAGCTTCATCGTTTTTCATATTTTCATCCCATAGGGATTATGCTAACAGGTTTTCTAGATATATATAAATTTGTTGAGTCAACATCATAATTCATCAAAGAATACTTAACGATATTTGATTTCTATGGTGTAACGAATAAGTTGAAAATAAAACAGCAACACCTATTGATATCTTATGAAAATTTATTTTAATTTCGTATTCAATACGAATTATATTTCATCCATTTTTAAATCTTCAACATATAAAAGATCATTCATTTAATTATCATTATGATTGTTCGATTGCATTTTTTTTTAAGATTTTCAATAGACTCAAATCAAATTTTAGAATCATAAAATAGAAGAATTTTTCTGTATTTTCGAAAAACAAAATTAATCAAACCTTTGCTGGTGTTAATTGATTACCGAGAAGCGTATATGTCGTAAATGTTAAGACAGAGATAAGAACTGGTGTTGTTGCCCAAAAATAAACACAAAAAGCATCTAAATATTTTCTTCCACGCAATGCTCGTAACTCTTTTTGTCGAATATTATTCATTTGATCAATAAAATAACTTTCATATGTATTCATTTTTATTGTACGTATACCATATATAATTTCAGAAACAAGTTTAACACGTTCATCTTTATATAACATCATATCTTGACTTAATTTAGCTATTTTCGATGCTATAACTTTATTTATTGGTATAAGAATTATTGCAAAAGCGAGACCAGTTAAAAATGTTAAACCAATTTGTTGATATAATAAATAAAGAACAATAACTATTTGAACTGGTAATGACCAAAATGCATGAAATGATTGAAAAAAATTTACAATACGATCCGAATCTGTTGACATAAAATTAACAATTTCACCCATATTAAATCTATTCATTTTACATATATTTAATTGTGTTGTTTTTGTATAAATACGTGTATATAAATACATTTTACAACGAAGTGCTAAAAGATTTATACGATAAGTAAAATGTGTATTTAGAAATGATGCTAAAGCTACAGTTCCAATAAGAATACTTGAAAGAAAAAGACCACGACGTAAATCACGATCTTGTTGTTCAGTTTCACGTGATTCTTCCATATAACTAATTAATTTATTAAGAAAAATAGGTCCACCAAAAGCAAGGCCATCACCAAGAATTTTTAGAATACCAAGTAGAAAAAAAGATCGACCAAAAGTTTTTAGAAGTGAACGAGAAAGTTGACGATGATATTGAAATGTTGAACATGATGACCAAAGTATAGAAGGTAATGAACAGAGATCATTTAAATCAATAATTAATGAATTATAACCACGTTTCATCAATGGATTAAACCAAGAAAATGTAAATAATTGTGTTATAGTTGCTAAATCTTCATCAATTATATCTGTTAATTCTTCTGATGACAAAGGAAGAAAAGGACATCTTGGTTGTATGATAGCTATATCGGACAACAAATGTTGATTTTCATTAGGTTCAGAATCTATATCATTATATCAAAATTAATTATTGAAATATTTTGAATAATAATCACTACTTACTTTCTATTTGTATTTGTCGATTGCAGTTGTGACAGCATATTAATAAAAGACCAAAAGATATTAAAAATAAACATAATTGTCTAATGCTAACATAAATACTTTCAACTAATGTTAGATGTTTAATAACAAGCCGATAAATATCATAATTTTGTACGAGAAAAAACATTATCATCCAAATAATATAAGCCAATGGTCGTTTATTATGATAAAGATTACTGTTTAAATTCAAATAACAAATACATAAGTATGCTACAAGAGTGACTAACATATTAATAGCATCAATCCATTGAATTTTTGTTGTATTAACAAAAAAACAGATATAAAAATAAAATGACAATGCCATAATTAAAACTAAGCTCGATGAAAGACGAATCAATACAAGAGGAAATGTCCATAGACGATATGAACACTTCAAACGTTGACCAATGTTATATGCAACAAGAATGAGAGTAATCACATGAAGTAGAGATTCAAAGAGATATTTACGAAAACAAGGTGACAGATCTTGATCAACCCAGATCTTTGATAAAGAATCACTACTATCGTTACAAATCAACGATAGAAAATCTGATATTTCCATCTAGAAAAATTTTCGAAAAATAAACTCTTGCTCTCTTTCTTTTTTTTTTTTTATCAAAGCAAAACACAACAAAACAAAATACAAAGAGAAACAAAATTAAACTAAATATCTTTTATATTCGTTGACATTTCTTTTTTCTTATTCTTTAGTTTTTTATCTTCATCAATTAAATATTGCATAAATTCTGTTAAATTTTTAAATTCAGTTCTTCCTTCATCTTCCTTATTTTTTTTTCTTTTTATCGATGGTAACCATGAACCAGTCCACATTCGAAATTCTGCAAATGTTTTTGGTTTTCCACTAATTAACCAGAAAAAACCAGTAAATGAAAAAACACCAATTAAACTATAAATTGAAGCACGACGTAAAGCTTTTACAGCTAAATGATGACCATCATCAAATAATATGCTTGCATTTGCTTGTTGAGTAAGTTTAGCTGTTGTTTCACGTTTTTTTGTTCGACTTACAGCAAAACCAAAACCACCTAATAAGCCACATGCTGTTAAAAAAGCAAAATAAACGCCAGGCAAAAGACGATTGGATATAAAAGCATTACGAGCTTCTCGAGAAGCTTCTTTTTTTGATTTGATTGCATCACTAAAAATAAGATAAAAGATAATATGAATTCTTTTTTTTTTTCGTAATAATGGGAAAAGGTCATTTGTGTTTCGTTTTTTTTTTCTTCTATATGCAACTATTCGAAGCAATAGAAGAATAGACAATTGAATATTAATCGCGTCATGCATATTGTAATGAAAGAATAAAATTGCTTTTATTGCTTGTTTTTTTTCACACACAAAGAGAAAAGCGACAACTAACGGATACAACATGCAACATGAGAGAGAGAGAGCGAGAAACAAAAAGACAGTAAAATTTGCATGGCTCACTAGGGAGCAGCTGCATGTTCAAGTAGTACTTCTTGTCCATCATTTGTAACATACGTTGCAGCATTTGGATCATCAGCTAATTTAATTAAATCGGCTATTTCACCTTTTTCATAGGGTATTTCTAAGAAACTATCACTTTTTTTTAATGATGGTGATCGAGCAGGTGATAGATCTTTGCTACGAGCATTTATAGAAGGAAGAGTTGATAAAGTTTCTTCAAGATCTGATGTTGTTTGTTGACCATATGATGAATTATTAGAAAGATCTGTCACAGGATTATTCGAAATAACTGATGATGGATCAGCATCAATTGAAAAACGTTTAGCCATTGGGCGTAGTGAATGATGACGTTCAAAACTTGATTGTGTTGTAAGAATTTTTTTTAATTTTCTTATTGTTGTTCCACGTGTTGCAGGAATGATATCAGATGAAATTACTGAAGACGTTGAAGAAGTATGATTATCACTGGTTTCACTAGGTGATTTTTCTTCAGGTATGATTAATTGAGGTGTTACAGATGAAGAAGAAGAAGAAGATGCCATTAAAATAGTTCTTCTACAAAAATGTAATAAGGAAAATTTGCCAGTAAATATAAATATATTGATTGTTCCATCTGATTCAATTGATTTTCTTTCTTGTATAGAAGAAAATTTGTTTTTTTTCAAAAATATCTCATGTATTTCTTTAGTATGCGCAACTGCAAAACAAATATCTATTAGAAAAGCTAAACTAATGTCATAATGTGCTACTGCTTTGATGTTACCTATTAAGAAGTCTATTTTTTTTTATGCGGATATTTAATAGACCAGAAAAATGAGGAAAAAAAACAGCTATCAACATAAGGAAGAAAAGCCAACGACAATATTACAATTCTCTTTAACTGGCATGTGTATGTTTGCATGTGCACATCATAGAGAACATAAAGAAAAGAGATTGAAGAGTGGAAGTCGATGACGACAATATCAGAGTGCGAAAAAAAAGAGAAAGAAAGAACGAGTAGAGTAAGAAAAAAATAATACAATAATGATAATAAGAAGATATATTCGTTATATTAACAACATGAATCATACACTGTATTTCTTCTTCGTTTTTTTGTTTTTTATTTCATGATAACAACAACATTAATAGAGAAGAATAACAGACGTAACCTAAGAAAATATGTACATTGATAATATTGATTAGTAAATAATCAAAATTAAAGAATAACATATTTAAGATTATTCAATCAGTAAGGGTTCGTAAAGATGCCGATAAAAATCATTATAAATCAAATTGAATCATATAAGAAGACACTATCTCTTCATCTTCTTCTTTTTCGTTTTACTCTCGGCAAATAATAATAGTGAACATAAGATAAAGAATAACAATCCACAAAAAAACGACAAGAGAAAAAAAATAACAAACTAGTCGATTGATTTATTTTATTAAAAGATCCGATGAACATCGATAAACATAGTGAAGTTCATAGAATTATCGCATAAGATATAGAAAGAGAAAAAATAAACTATAAAACACATTATATGTAAAAGAATTATTTATCTCAAACAACTTCTATTTTTTTCCTATAGGAATTAATAATAATTATATATGACAAATAAAATATAATTCAAGGTATGCTTACCTATTTATTGCATTCATAATTTTACAATAAATTAATATGATGAATACAAAAATGACAATGAATAAATTAGGGAATATCTAAAATTCATAAGCATTGAATAAGGAAAATCTTTCGTTTTTTATTAGCCTCGAAATTTCTTCAGATGATTCATCTTTAGATACGATTGGTTATTTTAAAATACCATAGAAAATAGTAACCGGTATAAGACAGAGGCTCTACACAACAACGAACAACATGTAATAGAAAAATGGCGGTTGAGATAAGAACCTTATTATAGTAAGTAAAAAAAAAGGATGTCCCGTTGTTTGCCTTATCGTGTTGAATGTACAGAAAAATGCCTTCAAGCTCAAAATGATGCACTTAATTCAACATTTTTTATTCTAAGACAAACAGGTCCAACAGCTTTTGTTATCAAAGATGATGATGAACGAATATTTAAAGTATTTCTTCATAGATTAACATTCAATAAATATATTTATATATAAGTATGTGTTCATCAGATATTTTTAGGTGATCCACATAAATGTACATGTTCTACATTTCAACGTGATCGTGAACTATGCAAACATATATGTTGGCTATTTTTAAAACGATTCCGTGTACCAAGAACTAATCCGAGTAAATCATTTATGTTAAGGAAAAATTACCTTAGTAGTATGTATATATATATATTTAGTGCTATGGCAGCGAGGTCTTGTCGAACGAGAAATTAATGAACTTCTTCGTGAATTAACACAAGATAATGATGAAAAAAATAAATCAAATCTTAATTATAAAATAAAAGTACAAATAAAAATATTTTCTTTTGTATAACATAATTGTTAAGTTTTGTAGTGAAAAAGTTAAGTTAACCTTTTCAGTTCCGGTTTTTTTCGAAAAATAGAAGAGTCTTTTTTAAATTTCTTATTTTATTTTTTTTAAATTTCCTTTTTAAAGAAAAGAAGACTGTAGGAGGATGTGTGAATATAGAAAATATTAATATAATATATCAAATTGAAGGCATTTTTGATATCTATTGAACTGTGAAATTAGTTTAATTGCATACATTAATATTGAAAAGAAAAACATGGGTAGCTCCTTAACATTTTCTATTAAACTTATATCGTATGCAATATCCGATTTAGCCTCTAACTTCAAATTGATAATTAGATATGATCAAGATTAACGTACAATTCTTCATAACTATCGTTCATTTCACAAGAAAAGAATAGTAAATATTTTTAAAAATAAATTATTCAAAGAGTAAGGTGAATCTTCTAGTGTAAGAGAGAAGCGATAAAGATGCATCGAATTAAATAATCGTCGTATGTTGATAAGTAATAAAATTCTTCTCATTGAAAATTTATAAAGTGATGTAAAATTCACATTTTCAGATTTAGTTAATCAGAAATTATAGATTTTATACTGCGAACTCATAGTTGATTTTTCGTAAAAACTCGATTTATTGATTGATTTAATTCTTTGATGGCGAAGCCCGTATATTTATATTTTCAAAATTTGAACAGAAGTCGATGCCGGAATATAGTAAAAGAGGGTTGTTCAATATTCGTGATATTCTGACATAGATGCCACTGATGACATCATTGTATCTTTAAATCAAGTATAAGTGCAAAAATTCGTATTACTAATAGTTTTTCAAAGTATGCTATGTTAACAATAGATTTTTATTTTATTGATTTTAAAAATCTGTCAAAAAAATCTATGTTTAGGCAAATTTTGTTGTTATTTGTCGATTGTAAATAACTATTGAACTTTTTCAAACTAAAATTTACCGTATTATGACAGGATGAAGATGAAAATGATGCTGATAGTAATGTTGAACAACGTCCAATAAGTGAAAATGATGTATGTCCTATATGTCAAGAAGAATTGCTTAGTAAAAAATTGCCTATTACTTATTGTCGGTTAGTAAAAAATATGAAATTAGCGATCTAGTATTAATAGAGTAATTAATTTTTTTAGACGTGGTTGTGGTAATAATGTTCATGTTAAATGTATGAAAATATGGCTTGATCATCAGGTATCAACAGGTGAAAAAACAATTAAATGTCCATTATGTCGAGAAACATTTGGTACACCTGAACAACTTAAACAAGAATTTCAGTAGGAAAATGTTGTTTTGTAATAAATAGAATTGTATAAAGTAATTTTTTTTTAGAAGAATTGGTGCTCAACGAGCTGAAAAAGCATTCATACATTTAGGTTATTCATGTCATCGTTGTCGTGCATGTCCAATCTCCGGCAAATGTTATAAATGTACAACATGTCAAGATTATTTTCTTTGTCAAACATGTTTTAATTTAAATGTACATAATGAACATAGTTTTGATTATCGAGAAGTAAATAAATGTTCAGAAAGAAAAGAAAAGTAATTCATAAATAATTTTTTATTTTGTTTAGAGATCATATCAACGTTGGAAAATAGCAATACGTGAACATTTAACAGCATTACCAAATGCATTTCATCGAATGTTAGCAAATAGAGAAATAAATGACAATGATTATGAAATTTTAATTCAACTTGAAAAGTAATTTAACAATGAAATAATTTTTTTCTATTGAATTCTTTTATTTTTTTTTCTAAAGTGCTCAAAATTCTGCAATTATGGGTATACCAGAGAATATTGTAAAATCAATGCCAACTGAACGTATAAATGAACGTAGTCATTTATTACAATATGGTGAACAATGTCGTTTATGTTTAAGATTTTATCAAATAGGTGAACGTGTTCGACGTTTACCATGTCGACATAAATTTCATATTGATTGTATAGGTAAATAAATAATAAAAAAAGACATTTTCGTATTATAAAAATAAATTTTATTATTGATTGTTTTTCTAGATGGATGGCTTTTACATAGTCATCCAACTTGGTAAGAAAAAGTTATTTATTAATTAGAAATAATAACTATCATATCTCTTTAGTCCAATTGATGGTCAACTTGTATGGAGTGTTGAAATGAATAATGAACAACCACAAATAAAACGGTAAATTTCTTATTTAATGATATAAAGATTTTCAAAACACGAATGAAAATGAGTGTTGAAATATACGACGAAAGGTGACTATAAGGTTTCGACTATAGAATTGGATACCTATGAGCTTACAGACAAAGACTTCTCTATCTAGAAGTATATGTATTAGATTGAAAAAGTCCTTCTTTAGAAGCCTACACATATTCCTTTATGTAATCAAAAATCATCGAAAAACTTATATTCGCCTTTTTTTATTACGCTATCCGCTTAGGAGATTGAAGTTTACCTAGTTAATTTTCATAAAGAGCTTCACTTGTATGAATAGTTGGTACATTTCATAGTGTTCAGCAGCATGTATTTTCGATAAAACGTAACGCTCAGTACCGCGTCGTCTTGCTGATCACTATAGAGTTTACATAAAACTTATCGAAATAAGACTTTCTATGAAGATTAGTGGAATAAACATTGTATCGGCCAAATGTTTTGGGCTCAGATCAAAAGTTCGGTCCGAAATTCTTCTAATCCGTCTGTTTAAATAGCTTAGCCATGATCCATCTCATATCGTGATAGACGTAGCTTAGAAAATAATTATGTATTTTACAAATTACTTAAAGAAAACTTATAAGTTTATAGGCAAACTCAAAAGTCCTTGGATAATATTAATTTAGTTTTGCCTAATGAATCCACAAGAGTATCGAGTATGTAGGCTATGTCAGTCAGAACGGAATATAATCATCTTTCATTGAACTTTGAATCTTTACAAGGATTATTTTTCTGAACAAGTTCTTTTCTCATAAATAAATGTAAAAGTTGTTAACTCTTTGAGCTTACACCCAATTAAAAAAATTACTGAATAAATGACTAATCTTATGACAGAAAAATTCAAAAATTTTAGAATAGAGTCCATGTCACGAACTGAAAACTAGCGGTAGAACTTCAAAAAAAAGACACTTCCTAAAACCAGTCTTCTGAAGAAACTCTCCTATCTCGAGATAAAATCTTTTCTTTTGCCATGATTTTGAAATTCCGAGGAAGATTTTATACCATTTAGAATTGTTTATGAACTTTTCATTGAGTTGTAAAGGCATACTTTTGTTCGAATATTCATCTTCCATCACGTTGCTAATATTTTCTGAAAAATCTAAATATACTCATAAAAATTTTTTCTATCTTGAAGAGTCCTCTATAAAATGCACCATATTAATGCTTCAAAATAGTGTTTGAAATTCTAATAGTTTTATATGGAAACACATTTAACGAAGAGTTTCTCCTTTATTTACATTAGGTTTTGAATACTATATTTTTTTTAATAATAATTCGTTAAAACAAAGGTCTTTAGGGCTGAGTTAGAATATTTAGAGTAAAATCACGTCACTAAGGAAAGAAATGATTTACATTCATTAATTTACACCAATTAGTTAAACATATTTTTCTATGAATAGCAAGAGTTCTGTCATGTTTCACATCTTGAACTTACAGAATTTACGCTAACTGTTTTTTTTTCTTCTCAATTCAGGCCTTCACTAACTGCTGCTCGAAAGACAAGAAAAAATACTCCTTCTGCTATTGACTCATCGTTACTTTCTGTTGATATGGGTTTAACAGTAATACCTTATCAAATACGAACAGCAGCTAATGCTGATCTTAATCAACAATTTCGACGTTTTCATATGCGTGCACCACTTCGTCCATTAATTGCATCGATACCTGTGGAATTTTCACCACCACTTGAAATCAATACTCGACATTTACAAAATCAACAATCTAATTTATCGTTATCGAATGATGTAGGACAACGACAATTTCGAAGACAATCATTATTATTATCGCCTTCTTTAGTAACAGAAGATATTAGAAGAATAAATACTGAAATCAATCAAAATTCGGCATTATTAAGAAATATTTTTGATCATCGACTTCGTCAACGTAATCGTTCAAGTGCCAAATAGATTTTTCTTTTTGTTCTTCTTTACATTTTTATTTTTATGAAACATATATATTTTTATATCCTTATGAATATTCACTTATTTTATTTTTATTCATATTTATATCATTTGTTTTTAATTCAGATAAATAGATTTAAAAAAATTTACAAATCGATCATTTATTTAATTAATTTCGATAGAATATAAAATAATTCGTAGCGAATAAGACAGTTTTATTATATCATATGGAAATATTGAACATAGATTTGAAAGAATTCGTACGTACGAAACATAAGAAAATTTTCTTCTCTGAAAAATTTTTCTCTACTCTTTTTTTTATTTGTTAAGACTATGATGGATCAAAGAAATCAATTTTTGTCAATAGCAAGACTCAATGATTCAAGTTGAACATAAACATTTTTTTAATCCTTTTAATTTTTTGAAAATCTTGTACAACACAATCTAAAAGAAATGTTGAAGTATAATGATAAACATTTAAACTCACCACAGACCGTATATCAATAGCATTTCGTTATAACACATGAATTACTTCCTTATTGTAGTTCTGAAGGATTAAGTAAAAGAATGATGACGAAACATATTTCAAAATAGATACAATAAAACTATCTCCCTGTAAATTAGCAAGAGCAGTTACATGCTGTTTGACATTTTAATTTCGCAGAAATTGTACTAACAACTTTTTTCTATTCAAAATGAATCTTAAATTAAAAATTTACCCATTCTAAACAACAAATATTCCATCGTCGATCTTATGAAACATGCATTAAAATTAACATAATTTTTTTTTCTTACACTGTTTGTCACTTATTACATATATAAGATGATTCACAGACTTCATTATGAACCAAGATACAAAATTTTTCATCTTACTAAATAATCTATTAAGATATCCAAGAATTTGGTGTTTATATAGAACAATAGAACCAGAATGATGAACATGAGGACTCTTCAGCATCGAAAAGTTGAGTACACAAAAAATGAAAGTGAACATGACGTCTATTGAAAGATCAATGAATCTATACGAATACGGATGTTAATCTTCTGCAGACATGCACCCAAACCTTATAATAGAATTTCAATATTTCAAACTTATCTCATTGATTATGAACTATATTAATAAACTGTCGTCGCACCACATATATAGAATGATATCTGCCTTTGACAACCAAATGGAGAATGAATCAATGAACCGTTTGGTTTAATAAAAGATTGAAAGGAACCTACAAACCAACACAAATACAAACTCATTGGATGTCGATTTTTTTGATTGACTCTACTACATAGTCTAACAACGTTGCCAAACTCCCTATTTTTACATTCTCTAGTATCATTTCCCTACTTCAATTTTCTACCGACCGAAAAATGTAATGTCATATGATTCAATTAAATAAGAGCATTGTTCTTCATTTACAGAAAAACAACTCAAACGGTCTGTGTGCATGTTTAATCTTCTCTTCATTTCTATGCACATCTACATCTCTCACCTTCATTTTTAATTTTGCGTGCTTAACTTTTCGATCAACAATCGATAAAACAAAGGTCTATTCTCAATAGTAAAATGAGAATTAGTTCGTATATCTTCAAACCAGTTTTTATTTATTTATCTATGATTGAATTTGTCTAGTTTCACATGTAATAAAAGAATGAAACTGTTTAAGATTAATTCACACACACACACACATACACATCAAAGATTATTTTTTCAACCGATAAATATGCGATAAATAACAAAAAAGAAAAAAAACAAGAACAAATAAATAACTTCATTGTATATTTATAATTCATCCTTTTTCATTGATGTACTTTCTTCAATTCGTTTTTGTGTTGCAACTACATCAACACTAACTACTATTGGTGTTGTTACAGATTCATTTTTATCATTTTGTCCAAATATTGGTGTATTTTCAGTATCAGATATATAATTTGGTTCACCAAAATAATGTGTTGGTGTTAAAATTAATGGATGAAATGCATATGCTTTAAGTTTTCGATTATGAAAATGACTTTTCCATTGTGTATTTGGATGATGATCATACATAATTGGTAAATATTCATCAACAGGTAAAATTTTTTGAAGTGGATTTTCATTAATAAGTATACGTGCACCACGTAATGAAAGTGCATAACCAACAGTCCAATGTGAATAAGATGGTTCAATAAGAAATGTTTCAATTGTTTGTTCATAATTTTCTTCATTAGATCGCATAATTTTTCTTCCAAGATATAATATATCCCAATCTAATGAATGATTTAATAAAATTTTTTCTAATTTATATTTAAAATAAACATCAAAACGAACATCATCTTCAAGTATTAATATACCATTTGAATATTCATTTTTAATCATATCTTCCCAAATAAAATAATGTGAAAAAAAACAACCTAATTCACCATAATTCATTGGTCGTTGATTATATGGATCTTCATAATTTGGTAATAGACGAACATTAAGATTTTCTAAATATTTTTGATTAATTGTAGATTTTCCATCAATAGCATCAAAAAATCGTACTGATATATTAAGTATATCAAATGTTGCTTGTAAACGTTCACGACGATCATTACGACGTACAAGATTAATAACATAAATTTCATCTAAACCAAATTTTGTTTTTTCTTTTGATAATGGTATATTAATTAATGATGTACGTGGAATTGGTGATAAATATGTTTGAGATGGACCATTCAATTGATGTTCGACTAACAAATGAATATAAAAATCATGTATGATAGATTCATCATTAAGTGCTTCAAGAAATTGTGCAGGTATATAACCAAATTCTTCCCGATTACACACATATGAAGGTATAGAATTTTCTCTTGCAATAACATCAATAGCTAAAATGAAAAAATTAATAAGAAGTGAAGAAATTAACAAAAAAAAAAAAGAAATACTAGATTCTGGTTGAAATTTTTCATAATTTTCATTTGTTAAAAAAACATTACGTATTTGTGGATAATTAAAATTAAAAAAATAAAAATCTTTTATACCACCATTAATAAGAAAACAACCAAGTTTTTTTCGTTCATATATTTGTCTATAAGCATAAAAATCTGGTGTTTGTTGATCATTTAAATAAAATGTTGATGTATACATATCTTTTGTTGAACGTAATAATGGTGTCATTAATGGTTTATCTTTAGAAATTAATATTGATAAAATTTTTTCAGGTTCTAATAAAATAATCATTGAATCAAACATAACAAGATATGTTATTTCAAGTTCAGATGAACGTTTCATTACATCATATAAACGATTAACTCGATCATTATTTGTTTGTGATGTCCATTCATGAATAGTAATAGTTGTAAATATTGTTTGATCAGATTTTTTCATAGCTAATACCCATTCATATAATAATCGAGTAGTTTCATTTTCAGCTATTGTATTAAATACATGATAAAGATGTAAATCTAAATAACATTGACTACATGGACAAGTTAATTGTTCAAGTTGTCGAAGTAAATAAGGTAAGACATAAGGACGATTATAAATATCAACATCAACTAATAAACGTTGATCATTTTTAGAAGAAATAGTTGATGATTCATTTTCTCCAAATAAATGATATTTTTTTCCATTAATAAAAACGATTAGAAAAAAGAAGAATATTAATATAGAAATCAATTGATTTTTCATTTTGAAAACAACAAAAAAAAAATCTGCAAAAAAGAAAACAATAAAAATAATCTTGTTCCATATAGAGGCATATATATATATATATATATATCATCAATTTTTCTATCGTATTTACTATGTCTGCGAACTGTTCTTTGACCGATGTTCTTCTATACATCGGTAGAATAAATAGGAAGAAACATATGATTTGCGCTCGTCAATGTGCCTCTGACACTGAGATAGATATTTAACCACTATGATGGAGCGTATATAGAAAATACTATATATATATCTACGTCTTTTCGTTGTGATAAATATGGAGAAAAGAAAAAAATATGTACAAATGAATGCAAGAACATCTCTTCATCTTGAGATAGATGATATCATTGAATGAACAATTGAAAAGAAAAGCAAAAAGAATAGACATAAAACGAATGACAATGAAACATTTAAATAGAATGAATCAAAAACTCAAAAGATAGAGAATTAATTTTGATATGAATTATCAGTTCTAGTTCACGATTTACATATATCATAACGAAAAATAGCTGGATATCTTCTTTTGTTTTTAAATAGATTATTGTATCTATGATCGAATGCGATAATAACTTAAGTTTAGCATTGGCGATATCTATTTATTTAAATTATGAAGTTTTATCTTGAAAAACGATATGAATCTTATTTTGTTTTGTGATATCAAGTTGATATATAATTATATTCTTTATATTATTCACAGATATTGCACAGTTGTAATCAGTAGAGACTTCTTTAACCGATCCGGTATGACCAGCATATTAAATTTTTTCTGATTTGAAAAAAAATTCGTTTTTTTTTAATCTTTGCACATTTTTTTTTATTACTACGAGAAGAATATAGATCATATCACAGTTATTAAAATCTGTAACTAATCATAAAATTTGATAGTCGGATTTTTCTAACTTCAGTCGAGTATGCGTTAATTTGAAGCAAAGTCATCTAGGTTTTTTTTTATTATTTATATTTTTCATTTGAAATTATATTAGAAATTATAATTTGCTAAGTTAAAAATTAAACTACAGCATAGTCAAGAATAAAAAATATCAACCATTATTCACTGATATTTGAGAAGAATGAGAAAAGATATAGGTAATATTTCAAAATAGAACGGTTTTACGGTTTTGATAAAGGAATTAAACTTGCTTGTACAATCTTCAACTGGTGATAAACTGATCGATTTACTCAATTTGTTTTTAAACTGGTACAGATCAATCGCTCGAACTATTTCAATTGATTCGTTCCGACACCGAACTGAACCGGTTACGTCTCTGAGAAGAATATACAAGACTTATATTTGTTTCCTCACAAAATAAGACTAGTTTTCAATAGCAATTATTGATCCTGTCAAAGAAGACAACAAAATCGAAAAATTTTCTCTTCAAACTTCTATTATTCGAATTGCAATGAGAAATGATTTTTATAAAAATTCTTGAATGAAGTAACAATAAGGTATAACAAACTCCTCAAAATATTAAAAGTAGTAGATTCCATGCATGATTTTCATCAACTATCATATAACTGTTAATATCTTGTTTCAGAATGTAACAAAATTTTGTATAATATTCGTAATTAGTTTTTGATAAAAAATAGATTTATTTTTTCAAAAAAAATTCGCTCGATTTGATAGATATTGTGAATAGATATATATGTGGATGAGAATAAGTATATTTGCTATTGATTTGTGTAAAGCTAAAGTTAGTTGACTTAATTGTATTCTTTTTGCATAGAAGAAAAAAATGTCCTTCTTGACCTATTATTACCATTGGCAAGTAAAACTGTTGAAAATGTTTCTTATGGTACGGAATTTTATGAAAAGATAATAGTAGTATGATTATCAAAATCGAGCGCGAATTTTAAGGAATCTATGGTTAGTTACTTCCATGACAGTTGCTCTTCTATGAGCATTTTGTTAGAACCGTTATGAATTTAGAAAAGAAATAGAAATAGATAATCATTAGATGTAGATATTATCCTTGTTCTTACGAGAGGACGTTTTCAACTGATCAATCACTTTTGAACTCGAATTTTATGCATATTTTTTCCTAATAAAGCTTTTATAAATGTTCTTTATTACTATAGAAAGTGAACAATAAAATAACTGATTGATTGTCATTATAAGAAAAATAATATATGTATAATTTTCTATTTGATTGCTGATATTCCAATACAATGGATCAATTGTAATACATAGATCGATCAATTATCAATTGAAAAAATCGAAGCAAATATATGGCCACCTAAACGAAACGAATTATTTTGTATATGGGAATTATAATAAGACAATCGTTTATCGAGAATATTCTTTATCATCAATATTCGGACCATTAGATGATCTCGGAATTAAATTACCTACTTATTCAGGTCCATTGAAAATGATTATTTTTAATGGTACAATACCTGAAATAGCATCTGAAGGATAATATAATATATATGTCAAAGCAGATGAGCAAGATCATGTAGAAATTTTATGCGTTAAAATTACTTGGAAATTATAAGATATTTAAATTAAAAAACGACAGCTTAACGACCATTCGTTTCAAACTTTTTTTTTTCGTCATTCTTTAATAAGATCAGTTTTTCCGTTAATTTTTCTATTTTTACTCAAGTTTATCTTCATTTGAGGTCAAATTATTATGAAGAAGACATTTATGCTATAAAGTCATTTTTGAAATTATGTTTTTCAGTTAGGAAAAAATATTTTCATTCTTGAATATTATTTTCTATGAAGAAAGTTAAGCCATTGCAACTAGTTTTTCTGTTTTATCTAATTCAATCAAAATTGTATTGATTGTTCTCTGATAGATGGCAAATTGAAGTGGAATAAATAAATATTATTCAAATCCAGCTGTTTCTCATTAGTTATCCCCAGATACTGTTGAATGATAAGATGCAGATTCAAAGTCTATTCTTAAGGATCAAAAAAAAAAAAAAACTTTTTCTTGTCAGAAAAGTTGTGAACAGAAATGTTTTAGATTGATTATATTTTTCTCAGTAAACAATCAAGTCTGATGCAAATGAACAATCAAAGATGAATCAAAATAATAATTTATATTATTAAATAATGATTAATATTTTGTTGATATTTCATCGACATATGTATTGATCCATAAATAGAGAGCTATGGCTCTTTTCAGACTAAACTCGGATATAGAAATCAAATCATTATTAAGTCCAGTTCCACGGCTCCTTTTTAGTAAGTCTGTTGATAGGCAAATAAGGAACGGTGGAGTCTTTTTAAAAACAAAGAAAAATATATTTATTGAAAAATTTTTCGATATAAACTTTGATCATTATCCTCCATTATATTATTATCTATTCTATATCACAATGTTTTTCTAAGAAAATGAATTAAAAAATAAAAAGATTTCAGTTCAGATCTTATTTGTTCGTATATCAAGAAGTAGTGAAACTTAATTTGTTAACAATTGCTTGTATAATTATCATTATCTTGATGAGAACTTCACTGTTATTGACTTAGTCTTAATAATGGTATTGATTCTATGTTTTGTTTATCAAAATCAATATTTGCTTGTTCAAACAATTGACGAACATCTTCCAAACTCGAAGGATATTCTTTCGTATAAACAACACGTTTTATACCATTTTGAGTAATTTTCTTTGAACATTGACGACATGGATTATGTGTAACATAAAGTGTAGCATTTTGATATAGGCGACGACCTATGAAGAAAAACAAAAGCAATTGTAATATCTAAAAATTTTGATTAAGCGAAAAAAAGAAAGCAGAAATGATTAATACCGGCTTCAAATAATGCACTTTCTTCAGCATGTATACAAATACATTCATCCAATCGTTCACCATGTTCAATTGACATATTCCAACAACGTTTACAACCACCTTGATCACATGCTTTGATATTACCCGGTGTACCATTATAACCTGTAGCAATGATGCGTAGATCGGTGTCAGCAATGATGCATCCAACACGATGGCGTACACAATTACCACTGAAAAAGTTGATAAATAGATTAATATAATAGCAAGAAAATAATCTCTTATCGACAATGTGAATTTTTAAATAAGCTTTCTAGGCGTAGTGATTTTCGATGATCTCTCGAAAAGTACTATTCGATGTCATATTAATCCATGTTGCAGATAACAATGTTGTATAACTAGAAAATTGATTAGTCTATTGTTTTTTATAGATCTAATATTCAAAACACAAAGGAGAATAGAGTGTATTTCAAACATTAACTTTTTCTACCGAAAAACGAAGAGAAAGTTGTATTGTATTAGTCTATGAGATTCTCCTAGCAGTCGTCGAAAGGACACAATCATAGGTTTCTTTTTTAACTAGTCTTCGAAAATTTTCCTCTATTTGATGACTTCAATCTAAATGATATAAAAAAAGACTTATGAAGGAACTCATTCGATTGTTAATTTTTGTTTGAGCTCATATTTTTCTTATAGACAGGACTCATAGTGTAAATAAAAATTCTGAAAGAATTCGTGTCATTAGACATCGTTTTCTCGAGTTATGATTATTTTACTGAACTTTTAACCTATTGTAGGATATCACAAGAAAAACGACAATAAGTAGTTCTGATTTGAAGTTCTCATGATCTTTATGATATCCTAAAAGTTTCAGTTCAATCGGATGGTTTCTTCTAAAGATATCGCATGGCTAAAAGCTAAGTTATTTGTTTGAGCTCTTATGTAAAAGTAACTTTTTTTTTTGCAAACGTATTATTTTCAGAATGAAAACATTCGTTTGAGTTGAAACTTCCAGGATATCATAAAAATTACGAGAGTTATTATTGAAGGAAATTTCAGACCACAACTTCTTGTTAGGATTTTTCTCGTGATATCCTGGAATAGGCTAGAAGTTCAGTAAAAGGACTATAACTGAAAAAGAATCTACCCTATGAGTTCGATTTATGAGCAAAATATGAGTTTCAACAACGATTATCAGTCGGATAGGTTTACTCGTTAGTCTGTAATACTAACTGTGATGCTGTTATCCAAGCCAACATTAAAAAATATTGATCCCAACTTGGACACAATAATTTTGTTGTTGTTAATTGTTGACCTTTTGAATCGATTGATAATAAATCTGCTAATTTCTTTTCCAAATTCATTCGATCATTTGTATCATTAATCAATCGTAAATGACAAATATCCATACATTTGTGTAATGGTGATATGTCTTTACTATCTAATTGAAGATTTTCTAATATCTTATCAATACATTGTTCATTAGAATTTATTCCAAACATTAAATAATCATCTAATTGTACAAATTTTTCTAAGGAATTAATTATTGCATGTTTTTGACGTTGAAATCGTATTATTAATGGTCCTTCTATAGCAATAGGAAAAAATTGCGGATTATCATGCATTTCGATCATTGCTTTTAATGAATTGATACCCACAATTACAACATTTTTTGGCCATGTTTCTTTCGCCTTTGAAAGACATTCTTCAGCTGCATGATCTTTCTTCTTCTTAAAATCTTTGTACTCGAGTATAACGAAATCATATTGTTTATGAAGAATATCAGCAATTAAGTGTTTACCACTTGACAATGAACCGATTAAGCCAATTATTAGCATTATAATTGATTATTGAAAAATTTTAATACATCTACAAACTAAATAAAATAAGATGAAGAGGTATACGATATCAATGAAATGATTCACTATTAATGATAATACAAAAAATAGGATCAAATAAATTTCTACATATTCTCTAGAACTGAAAAACGAGATCATTTAGAATAAAATGAAAATGAATTATATGTTTTTAGCTTTGATTTATTTTAGTAGAGAAGAATGAGAAAATATTTCATGTTAACTTATCATGTAATCGAAATGAATTAATTTTACTACCTAATCTTAACAATAGAAAATTATTAATTTAATTATAATTATCAAAATCAGAAAATTATTGGTAACGAAGGTCAATAAGCCTCTATAGCTCAGTGGTAGAGCGCCAGTCTTGTAAACTGGAGGTCCGTAGTTCGATCCTGCGTGGAGGCATTAACTTTTTTTTTCATTCCTTTTCTTTTCTGACATACGGATGATGCTCGTTGTATATAAGACAATCTATTGTAATGATTAAAAAAAAAATCATGCCTAGCAAACAATATTATAGTGACTAAGTAACTGTTCATATCTGCGATTAAAATAAACTATATGCACTAAATACGAATGTATAAGAAGCTTATCCTAACGTCTATGAACCAAACAGGTTGCATTCCATATTTCTTTCTTTTATATACATACCTTTTTTTTTTTTATTATACTATACACATGTATTAAGAAGAAACATCAAGTGAATACTGAAACACAGATTATTAATTTTAAAAAAATAAACGCAAAAATTGTTGTTGTTTTTCATCTCCTAAAAAAATATGGTACTATTTTTTTTTTATCAATTAAAATTGAAAATGTATAGTTTGTGACATTCATAATAAATTTCAAATCTATTTTAATAACATCATTCGTTATCTTATATTTAAAAAAATATTTCTGTATCTAATCACTAATAATAAAAAAAACATTCATCTTCAAATTATTTCTATTTGACTCTAAAATTTCTATACAACATGCAGCTATTAATTTAAATTCATTCTATTCTAAAGAAAATATTTCTACTTTGAAATTGTATTCATTACAAAATATATTATACGACATACCGTTAAATGCAAAATCAGGTGAACAAGTGCAGTATAGTATTGTTAGGAGTACATGTGATAATATACGAAGGTAAAACAGTGTAAAGACAAAAATATGTCCTTGCAGAGTATGTTTTTCTTTTTTAATTAAAGAAACGAAGAAGAAACAACTCAATCAAATTACGGCACAATGTTTAAGAGTTGTAAAATAATTAATAACAAATATATGATCAGAAAAAATATTTTGGACTCTTTTTGTTTGTGTAAAAAATTAAATACAACAAAAAAAAAGAGGATTTTATGATAGACAATGAATATTTCAGGATTTTTGTTACAATTAGTATGATATATGCATCAAATATGTTCTTATATAATTGATTCAGTAAGCTTATTTAGTGCTTAATTAATTGTACTAAGTGAAGAAAAATATTTTTCAAAGATGATGTCTCTTATTGTCGAACAACATACAAAATTTTCAATTGGTTGCTAGAATGATTGAATAGTTAGTATCGATCGATATCAAAGTCAAAGCCATTGAGCTATTGCCTAGTACGGACATCTAACATAAAGAAAATGTTTTATAATGAATGATTCAAGAATAATTTATTATTGATTTATTTGCAAATGTTTTACTGAAACTTATCCGCACTAATTTTCATGTTTGCAAAAGTGGAATTAGTATTATATCTAAGTACACGAATCTTCAAAGCAATATTGAAATATTGACTCAAAATACAATGGCATCATTTTACCGAGATCTATCTACAGACCATACACTGAAAAATAAAATTCTACTATTATTTTATTTATATTTTCTTTCAAGACTGATAACATTTTTCAAATGCATATTGATTTTCTTATATCATATACTTCAGTAATAACTGTAATAAAATACACAATTGTATGTAAAATAGTATGAAAGAGTTTCTATGATTGATGTCTTCTGAAGGTATTCAGTTGAAATTCTAATATTAATTTAGTTAATAATGTCAAACGTTGATGCATGTTATCATCATTGAATTCAATAATGTTTTGATGAATTGAATGCTGTTCATAGCACTAAAATTGCAGCAGAAAGTAATAATTAGCATTATCAATATTTATAAGACGTTCTCTCACAAATCTTCTAAATGAAAATGTTTAAATATTGAACGAATTTCACTAAACTTTTCTATAAATTTGACATCGTTCATAGTATTAGAATTCTTTCATTGGTATAAAAATTATTTTTGAAAGTCTCTAACTGTTCACTTGTTGAAATATATTTCACACAAATACTGTTTCAAGCATTTTTCATACTTCGAGTCATTCCAGTTCGGAATAATAATTTACAAATATATCCACTATATCGACAAAGTTCGTCTCAGTTTCCCACCTAAGTGAATTTCTATTATTTATTATATCACGTTAGAATTCTGTATTGAATCAGGTCGATAAAACCAACAAGTTCTCTTCTGTGAACAATAATTTGAACAGCTCTTGTATATAACTAATTCGATCTGTATGATCAACATACGCATCGAATCAACCATACAGAGAGACTACCATAAGTGACGTTTCTAGTAGCAGATTTTTCGGATTTACTTAACCCGACTCGATGCAGTACAGTTAGAATGATTTAGGCTGTAAGGTGCTTACGCTGACGAAATTGAAATCTTGACTGAACTTTTCAACAAAATTTTGTAATCTCCTCAGTTCAACTTAAAAGTTAACTTCAGAATTTTGACTTGACACTTTGCAGAAATAATTTTCGTAATGGGATTATCAGTTCATTTTGAAAGTTTCAATTGTTCTTGTTAGTTCTATTACGCGATATGAATGTTGAAAATTCTGTTGTTTAACAAAGCAAATTTTTTGCTTATATTCATATTTCAAGACCGTAACAATTAAAAAGGCTAAAACTTTTAAAATGAATCAGTCCTATTGAGAACATTATTTGTACACAGTTTCAAGTTGAAACTGGAAAGTTAACCCTTCAAAATGACTACAAGATTTTGCCGAAATGTTCTGTAAAAAGTCTATTTCTTAGAAATCTTACGAGTAAAAATATTCTAGATAAGTATAGATTATTAGCATCATGTGTGAAGAATAATTACACAGAATACGAGATTATTCGCTATAGTAATTGTAGAAATTTTCCTCTGGTTCTCGTTTTCTGTCCACTGTGCCATCCGCAAGATTGAGAAAAAAGTTTTTTATTTTTTCCTAGAAAAAACTTATACTCTATGTAAGATAATAACAGTATTTTTCAACTAGTCGCTACAGCTATCGGAGCCATAAAAGACTGACTGTTCGGCAATGTAAACATTAAGAAAGCTACTCTAACTTCTAGCTCACTTCTGATTGTAACAATAATTATTAAATTTTATGACAAAATTAGTAATTTTAGTTTTTAGAATTTGATAATCCAATAAGGTCAGACTGTTTTCTTCCCTATAAAAAGTTTCTATTCAAGCATATCGATACCTTTACTTCATTTGTTTTAATTCACAGTATTCACAAATGAAGAAAAACGAAATCTGTACAGAACATGTATAAAAAGAAAAATAAATATCAAACAAAAGTTAATTAGATTTAATCCCATAGTTTTACAACATTGTCCCATCCAGCTGTTAGAACTCTTGATTTTTCACGCCAATGCCATTTAGCATCAATACATACATCATCATGTGCTTTAATTCGTTCAAATATACGTGTTGTTTTCCAATCCCAAATAATTAAACATCCATCTGCATCACCACTTATCAAATAAGACATATCAGGTGAAAAATCAAGACCACATGCATAACCAGATACCTAAAAAAAAAACAAATCAAAGAAATATTGATTTATTTCTATTTCAACTAAACAATTATTTACCATATGTCCTTTGAATATTTTTTTACTTTTCCATCGAAAGTTTGCCAATGGTTCCATAATTCGAATTTGATTATTCATCGATTGAAATGCTAAATATTTACCTGAAAGTATAAATAAAATTTACATTAAAATAATACCAAACAAACAAAACCATTTCGTGATTGTGCAACAGCAGGCATAGAATGCATTGTTGGATCAGCAATATATTTAAAATCAACAGGAATATTCCTTTAAACAAAATAAGTAAAGATCCCAAATATCAATAAACAATATATATTTTCTTTACCATTCCCATACACGTATACTTTTATCATCAGATGTTGAAACAATACGACGATTTCGATCAACAAAATGTAACAGTATTAATAGCACCTAAATGTCGATCATATTCTTGTACAACATGACCACTTCGAATATCAAACTAAATCATAAATAAAAAAAAAAATGAAATACTATATAATAAATTGATAAAATTTATACAAAGAATTTTCTTATCGGATATTCCACATATAAATAAATGTTGTTTATGTTCACCTGAATTAAATGATACACAATAGGGTATTTTACGCATTGAAAATTTACTTTTTACTTGACCTAAATTAATGAAAAAAAATTTAACTAAAAATTTTTCAACTAGAAAATAAAATTCATACCAGTTTCTGTATCCCATAATTTAACCATTTTATCATATGAAGCAGAAAGAAATTCAGTGCCTGTATTATTAAAATTAACATCACGTACAGCTTGACTATGTCCAGCATATGTTCGAATACAACGACGTTCATTATAAAATTCCCACAACTACAAAAAAAAAAAGCTGTTAGCATAATCTCTGCAAAATTCGAATATGAAACACGACATAATTGCTGTTGCTCATCACAGAGAGATTGTTGTAGCCTATCCATATTAGGACACATTTCTTACGATCTTTAATTGTATATCAACAACATCCGTCAGTCTGTACGGTAGGAGAGTTTAAACTTTTATCTCTATTCTTCAATACTAGTGCCCGACATGACCACTGTAACTCAGAGTTGTAACCGATTGAGTGTTTTTGAACTGGGGAGGGGGGGGGGGGCTTCAAAAGGTATTTATTTTCCTTTTTGCACTCAGACTTTTACAAATCTCTACAAAGAAATATTATGTAATAGTCTTTTATACCTACTAGATTTCTCTAAGAGGAATATATGATATTTTTATATCTATAGCGGAAAACAAAGAGTCATTTATCCATCAACTGATTGCTAAACTTCAAATTTTGAATTTTCAGCACACTTAGCATTTTCAAACAAACCTAACCTTTCTCTTTGAACAACGATCTAAACTTCAATTTGATCTTTACCAAAATGTATCTCATATAAGTTTAGTTCTAGTAACAAAGTTTTCATTGTAATTTTAAAAAAAAAATGAAATATACTTCAATTAAAGAAATACAACCGTGTGAATAAATAGAATAAAATAAAACTAATAGTTCTTGAAAACAATACTGTTTAATTATTTTGATAAGAGAAAGTAAACTTGTTCTCAGACAACTTTATCGGAGAAAAATAGCATATCTATAAAATATGTTCCAATCAATCCAAACCGATTACAACTCTGCCGTGACTCACAGTCGTGAAAATAGCCATACATCTTGTATTTCAACTAATGGGTTAGATGTTGCACAATATAAATGACTTCGTCTTTTGTATAGATCCAGAAGCTGCAATGACTTCGCATGCAATAAGTGATGTACATAAAATCGAGTCTAACACAAACAATCCCAGAATGAAGTCAAATTTTAAACGTATAATCCATCTCATTTTCTTTCGAGAGGTTAACAAGAATATCGCTGTTGAAAATTAATTATAGTAGGTTTATCTTTGACAATATCTTTCCAGTTACAGCGAAGTTGTTCATTATTGCCTTGATTAGATGAAGTTTGTCAATTAATATTTAAATAGTTTTGTTTTCTTTCATTTTGCTTCAACACATTCTCATCACTCTTTTACTCATAAAATTGATATTTATTAGACTTTTGTCAGTAATTGATATAGTTTACGTAAAGAGATCCTAACAAACTAAAAGTAATTTCCGTAATCAAAAAAACTTTTGTCAGGCCGAGCACTAATTCAATACACCTTTTAGACCGTGTTTCACAAAAAAAAAATAAGAATTTTGTTTGTATTAAATTAAATTGTTTCTTATTTATTAGACTTACTTTAACTTTGCAATCCATTGAACAAGTAAGAAAAAGATGAGCAGAAACAGGAAAATAATGAATTTTTTGTACAGCTTTTGTATGTATGTATACATTGTTTTGGAATAAAACATCGTTGTGGTCCATGTTCTGAACGTAGATTAACACCAACATCTTGTGGTATATGAAGAAATGATCGACCTTGATAATCATATGGATCTTTAATATGTAATGTTGTTGATGATGAATCTTCAGGTTCGTTGTTCAATGTTGTTGATTCAGGATCACGAGTAGACATTGGTGCATTACGATCTTTAAATGTAGGTCGTTTAGATTTGCGTTTTTTCGCTAAATATTCATCGATTTCTTTTTGTTCTTCCTATATAATTAATAATACAAAAAAAAAAAATTAGTTTAGAAAAAATTTATTGAATAAAATTTACTTCAGATGGACGTGATACAGTAATTTCATCGACAAATGGAGCCCATGGACCATGAAAACCTTCGACATCACTTGGATCATTATTCTTTTCTTTTTTTAGTTTTTCATCAGAACGTTTTTTACTTGTTTTTTCAAATATAGTCATGCCTTGATTTATTTCAGCACTAGTTTGATCACCAATCATTTGTAATATATTATAATCTCCAAGACTTGGATCTGCTGCATAACCAAAACTATCGAATGTTCGTCGTTGATTTTCAAATTGAAAATCACTTAATGTTGTCGATTCTGCATAACCATTTAATAGATTCTTATAACTACGTTGTTGTTGTGGGGCAAATTTGGATTTATTGGACCAAACTAAAAAAACAAAACGAATAATAAATCACATTTTTTTTATATTGTTGTTGTTCTTTTTTAAACTTACTACCGGTGCATACATATCTTCAAATTTTGGATTATATAAAACTTCTCTTGTTTTAATATCGAGAAAACTACTTGTATCTGTTGGCTAAATAAAAAAAAAGAGAAATATTATTTTATAATCCTAGTGTATACTTTTTATTAAATATCTAATCTTTGTCTTATTCAATTATTTCAACATATTTAGTTTAAAGCAAATATGACGATTCTAATTCTTAAAATCTCCATTAAAATTCTCAATATTAATTATCTATGAAATATATAATAGTCTTAGTAACAATTTGAAAGATTTGTTCAATGCAATAATGTTATATTGTAAATGTACAAATTATCAATGCAAAACATTATGAATAAATTTTAACTCTTTACTCTCCACTGACCATTGAAGTGATCATCTGTAGATCGATTACAAGAACTAAACGATACATTGAATTTCAAAGAATTCAAAAATATATTTTATAGTGAACTTCATAAAGCCATCCATTGGCAAAAAAAGTTCGTTGCATTTCCAAAATATCGGACGTGCAAAATTCATCATTTTGAAATATTTTAAACAAAAATATTCTCTCCTTTCGCAGAAGTAAAGATATTTGAAGCTTGTTGTATGATATAGATTGATAAAGAAGTCTATTAGTAAATAATATAAGTTTTCAAAGTTCCATAATTGTTTGATAAATTATAGGTAATAAGCCAAAAATGGATAGTGTTATCACGATAGAGCATACAAAGGACAATTCAGAATAAAGTTAATGTAGATATGTATTATAAATTTCATTACGTGCAAAATTAAAATAATATTTAATATGAATAAAATATTTTTAGTTGTTATAGAATTTTTCACAGAAAAATAGCAATATATATCAAAAACACATGTATTATTTCAAAATTAGTTATGTATTTACTCCTTAAGTTGCTTTGCATCAAAAGCAGGACATCAGATGAATTTGACTGAAAATGTGTGGGATAGAATAAGATTAAGGTAAGGTAGGACGAGAATAATAGAATCAACGAAGTTGTGATTTGAGATATGTTGTTATTCGGTTCTTTGATCATTCTCACATGATTATAGAATGATGATCATCTTTGAGAAATATCTTTCACCTTACCATTATTTGAACGGATCGAATAAAAACAGTTATTACATTGAATATAATAAGATTAAGTCGATAGAGAAGATAGCTAAATCATTATTTTGTATACCAGCTAGTTCACATCAAAGGAAAAGCAAGTTCAGTACAACTAGAAGAATTCTCAAAGCGTAGGAACGAAATTTTAATGATGATTTATTGTTCAGTAGAAGTTGCAGCAAACAATTATACTTTAATGCTTTGTAATAGAAAATAAAATGAACCTCAAAAACGTGATCCTGTTTACCATTCTCAGAGTCTTTCAACTCGATTATGATTAAGAGATAGTGAGAAATAAATTTCATCAGGTAGAGTTAAATGAGAATTAAAATATTTTTCTCAGATAGAGTATGAAAAAAGCTTACTCTACACTTCTCTAGATCTGACCACATTATGAGCATATTATAGAGACTAATACTATATTTATAAGATAATTTTATCTACTTTAAAATGTATGATGAATTTGGAGCCATTGATGAAACATTTTTATTGAAGTATCCATTGAAGGTTTTTGACATCAAAATTTTGTTTGAATGAAAACTCTTTGTTTTTTTCAAATACTCAAGTTATGATGAACTAAGAACACATGAAGTTTGAATATTCTTTAAATTAAAATAATTCTTTTTGTTTGTAAAATTTTTATCTGTCTTATTAACCTGAATGGCAATAACGGGTGCTAAATCAAGTTTAATTCGTGACATAACAGAAAATGTTGGATCTGTTATTACGGCTACTTGATCAGCGATTTTCTCTTCACGTATTATTGTTGTACTTTTCTCATTATCATCATCATCATCATGATATGATGCTTGGATAGTAGCAAGAGCCATCTAAAAAAAACATATATATACAGTGGATCCCAAAATTGTTCAACAAGATGTAATTTGAATTCTTTTTCATAGTCTTAAGTGCTAGAAAGAATCCAAATAGTGATTTGAATAGAGAATATTGTTGCCAACAAGAATTCGAGAAAATGATAACCATCATGAATTTTCCCAAAGTAGGGTTTCTGGAAAACCTAAATCCTAATTTTTCAACATCCAAAAGCCACAACAGAAAACTTTTTTAACAGTCTAGAATTATAGAGCAGCCAATTCTCTGCAAAATAAGACATCTCCGAGCTTTCTACGAGCTTATTTCCAAAAGTTATAAGCATCACAAAAACCGAAAAATTGCGTTTTTTAGTCGATTTTCCCATAAATTTCACTTTTTTTCGATTTTTGTGATGCTTATAACTTTTAAATGGAAGGTCATAGAAAGCTTGAAGACGTCTTATTTTGTTGAGAATTGGCTACTCTATAATTCTAGACTGTTAAAACAAGTTTTCTGTTGCGGCTTCTGGATGTTGAAAAAGCAGGGTTTCGATTTTCCAGAAACCCTACTTAGGGAAAATTCATGATAGTTATCATTTTCTCGAATTGTTGTTGGCAACAATATTCTCTATTCAAATCACTATTTGGATTCTTTCTAGCACTTAAGGCTATGAAAAAAAATCCAAATTACATCTTGTTGAACAATTTTGGGACCCACTGTATATATATATATATACATTATAAATTTTATTCAAATAATCTTTATGTTAAAAACAAAAGACAAAAACTTTATTTTTTTAATCTTGCTGTTCCAAAGAAAGACATAACATAAGTAAGACATGAGAAAAAAAAATAACATGAATTATACATAATAATAAAACATTTCAATATATCAAATGTTAATTGAAATTTTAAGTTACTATACAATATGGTATAAGTGTATTTGAATTAATATTCTCTCGACATAATGGACATCGAGATGATATAGCTAATAACTGACGACTACATAATGTACACATAATATGACTACATTGTGTAATTATTAAATAAACACCTGTATATTGTAAATCACTAAAAGTTTCTAAACATATTGGACATTCTTCAATATCAATTGATGATTGATATTCAAGTTTATTCGATGAACAATAAGAAGAATTTGATTCATCATCTGTTAAATCAATTAATTCATGAATATTTTCAATATTTGTTTCATTATTTTCAATTAATTCATTATGAGGTGATGATATTAATGTATTGATTGTTGGTATTCTTGATAAAAAATTATTATTATCAGTTACATCAATGATTTGATTATCATCTGAATCAGAATCTGAAAGTATTATCATTCTATGATCAGTTTGTTGACATGTACTATTCATATTTTCAGATATAATTTCAATACTATCATTATCATTATGATCATTTTGACTAGAAATTTAAAAGGAAAGAAGAAATATTTAATTATCTTCTATTGAATGATAAATCTTCGAACCTATTTAACGAATTAATATGTTCATTAATAATGATATCTTCTTCAGGTTCATTGATTTCATCTGATGTTGATAAGAAAGAAATAAGAAGACAATGACGTTTAATTATTGATTCAGTTTCATCAAATAATCGTTTCATTCTTGTAGATTATTATTTCAATCAAATGCAACGATTTTTTTAAAGTATACTTTAGATATTTTCCTAGAATGATTCATTTATTTATTTCTTAGAATAGATGACGCTGTTTGTTGTACTCTAGTTTTTATTAATAAAAAAAAAAAAAATTTTTTAAAACAAAATTATAATTTTATTTTAATATTTTAATTTTTTTTTCAGTTAATATTCAAAAAAGTGACAATTGAACATATAATTGGTTATTCATGATACATAATGCAATAGAGCAAATAAACATATACGCGAAAACATGATTATTCGTCGAGTGATTTTTCTCATTGATTACGAATGAGAAGTCTCACCTGACTAATGATTATGTTTACACCTAGAAAGATTTCGTAAACACTAATACTAACCAGAACACCTACTGCTTTCGATATACATACTTTTTTTATGATGAAAAAATCCTAAATTTAATGTATTCTTTTTTTTTTTTGGAGTATATTACTTTTTATCTTTTATCATTTAATTTCTTTTTGATAGTATGAGAAAAAAAAAAAAGAAAAATATATTTTCCGATTATCATCAATACATATATTTTTTTTTTCCTGTCAATAGATTTTTTATAAAACATCGTCATTGCACTTTTTGACACACTCTACTTACGACAAGGTGATGTATATTAGAGCCCGTTGGGTTGGTTTTGAATCCGATGGGTTTTAGTCATCCAAGAAATGCGTTCGATGCGCTAGTCATCGAATACAAAAAATTTTTAAAAAAAAGTATTTCGTACGTTTGGACCGACTATTCGGTTTCGATTAGAAAATTATCATTGAGAGTATCAAAGTACAGTTCGACCAGGTCCGGATTTAAAAAAACGTTCAATAAACTGGGTCTGATTTTGACGAACTCTAGCGTACACATACACTTTACTAGTACAAACAAAGTGTAAAAAAAGATATTTTTTTTTTTTTTTCATAATAGATTATATAATATAACTATATATATATACAATATGTCTTATCGAAATTATCCATCTCGTGAAGGCGGTAGACATCATACTGATCCAACATCATCACGATTTAATACAAAATCAAAATATCATCAACGTGGTCGAGGAACAAATCGTCCAGTACCAAATCGTCGTCCAACTGCTGGTGATGATCTTGATGGAATAACTGTATCAATTGGTCGTAATTTAACAACAGGTGGAATAGATTCTCAAGGTTCATCAATAAGAGGACGTATTGTTAGTCGTTCTCATGCTCCTCAACAAATTCATCCATCTCGAATGAATGATCGTGATCATAATCAACCAAGATGGTGGCGAATATCAATACCACAAGCAGGTGCTATTGGAAAAGAACGTGTTATGTCAACACTTAAAGTTAATTGTCTTCGACAATTTCAACCTTATCATGTAAATTAATAAAGGACAAAAAAAACGAATTTTTATTTTATTATTATTTTTTTTGTTTTTGTTTAGTATTTTATTGATCGTGATACTAATACTGGTGTTTTCTTTGTCAATAGTCAACAAGATGCTGATATGTTAAAACGTGCTAATAGAAAAATTGAAGTTCAAAATTTAGGCACAGTGAGTTAAAATTATAAAACAAGATGATTTATTATGAAAGTTTTTTTTTTTTTTTTTTCTAGCTCAATATCATGGTTAGTCAAACATCAAGTCCAGTACCTTTGTTAGACGAAGATTTACGACGACATTTTAGAGTAAAATAACAAAAAAAAAAAAAAAAAAATAATATTTTTCCTATATTTAATATTTAAGGATTATATTTGTAATCGTCGATTTAATGCACAGACATTTCAACTAAATTTATCTAATTTAGTTGATGATGAAGGTAATTTTAAGAATTTATATATGAAAGAAAACAAAAAAACAAAATTTAACAATATTTTGTAGAACTTAGTGCTCTTGGTATATATCCTCAACTAAATAAACAAGCATTTGTTCGTGATGTTGTTGATATAATCAACAAAAATCTTCATATGGTTAGTATTTATAATTATAATTATTAATGAATACAATCAAAATAGGCACAGCAGACTGCAATATGTTTTGTTTTGTTTTCAGAGAATGTGCTATGTAATATTCTATCAGAATTGCTAAATCAAATATTTAGAGTTGTTTTTGAAATTTTAATAGATTAATTAAGGTAAACATGTCAATTGTTATGCGACTTTTCATCATAAGAAATCTCAGATAGTTTTAAATAGAAAATATAAGTTTACGATTTATTATTTCTTGAGTAGAACACTTAAAACAAACCAGGGATATAGTCAGTTTTCGGAAATAGAAAAATTTTTATCTATGCTAAATTTAAATATAAGAACTTTGTATTTACTTATTATAGCACAATTTCTGATGAAAGAACTTTTCTAGTATTGTAATTGAAAATATTCTTTAAAAATCCGTGACTTTATTGCATGAATAGCTAGATCATATGCTTCTAGTCCATATTTACACTGATGCTACAAAAAAAGTATGAAATGAAAAGAAGATTTTACTGAGAAATACTCATTCATTATTTATCAAATATCTACAACTTGGCAAACAATTTTTTTTTATACTAGCAAATACATTGTTCTCATTTCGAATATCAACAAAGACAATATCCCTAGTTTTCAATAATTTAAAATCATAATTCCTAAGTTTTCAAATGTCTAAAACAGCTCTAAACATTTGATTCTACAATTCTGATAGAATATTACATTGAACATTAAAAAAAAATAAAAATAAAAATCACCTTCCTATGAGTCTCTTAGGCGATGTATAGTATTAGTGTAAATACTAACAGTAATTCATCAGCACTGACATCCGCTTTCGTTGTAACATAGAGGCATTCACTCTATCAAAATACGCCTTTTTTTGTAGCAATCTATTCCAGTGCTTTAATGAACACTGATAAGAGAACCTCTCCAAAGGTCAAATGACTTTCCGATGAAAGATCGAGTTTCAAACTTTGGTTTTACACAAAGAGGAAATTTCAAATATTCCATATCTTAAGAAAAGAGGTACTAGAAAAACTACAACTTGTCCAATGGACTAATCTCATTGAGAACTTTGCTCGTGCAAAATTCGAAGTTGAAACTCGAAAGCAAACATCGTTCCGATCGAAAAGCAATTTACTACCAGAAGGGGTTTCTTCTTGAGTTGGTGACGTCAGTTAACTGAAACTGCACATTCCTAGAGATATTTGCTGTTTGTTCTGTTCTATTATCTGCGTGTATTTTGAAGAATTACAATTCATATAATATATTGTTTTTTTTAGACTCGTCAATTGGATTTAGGTTCAAATAATATATCAAATTTATATGAATTTCGTAATCTTCAATTAAATAATCTTGAACAACTTAGTCTTGCTTCAAATCAAGTAAAATTATTTTATAATATAAAATTTAAAGTTTTCAACATGTATTTCATTTTTATATTTAGTTAAGAGCTTTTGAAGAACTTGTTCATCTTAAACAATTAACTCATCTTACTCATCTATTTCTCAAAGATAATCCATTAACATCATCAAATAACAAACGAAGTGTTTCACGCAACGATCTTATCAGGTCAGATCTATGAAAATTTCTTTTTTTTTTTTTTTTGTTTTCCATGGACACTCATAACAGACAGAGACAAATATAATAAAAACATGTTCTTAAATCGAACGTTTTATTTTTTTAAATTAAATTTTTTTCTTCTTTTCTCATTACTCATTCAAATTCATTCAAATAAGAGAAAAAGAAAATACATTAAATCAATGAAATTCAGAATACAAAAAAAAAAAAAAAAAAAACCAAGTCTAATCGTAATCGTTTTTATCATACTAAGTGTGAGTGTGTTTGTACGTCGAAAACTTAAAATCAAGAGAGAATGAAAGAAAAATACAATGTATTGAATTTTATTCGATTGTAAATTAATTCATAGTTTTTTTTTTGTACGTCGAAAAAAAAAACAAACTTCTCCTTTTCCTGCAATAAAACAACAGCGATAAAAATAATTGGTTTTTTTTATTAAATTTAATAATTCATATAAAAATGGATGTCTATACATATTGATTGAATGATAAAAACAAAAACAAAAAAAATTTTTGGTTATTCGATTTTCTTATGTATTACAAAGTAATTGATGGATTTTAATTATGTCGATATTAATTTATTTATCTATTTTTAACATTTGACATCTCTAAAAATTAAATCAATATTAATCTTATTGATTTTATTCATCAAATTAACTCAATATGATAACAACGACGAATAAAATATGATTGGATTTATTTTTATTTATTTTTTTTGTAATTGTGATGAGAGTTTTTTTTTTTTTGAGAATTTTTGTAAAGATAAGCATATGTGATAAAACGATTTCGATTAAAACAATATAAATATCATAAATCAATGATTTATTTTACTAGTTAAAGAATGAAAATAAATGATTCATTGAGAAAATGAAAGAAATTTAAAATGAAAACACACACATATATATAACGTTCGATTTAATCATGTATTCAAATCGCCAATAAATTACAAAAAAACAGGCGAAAAATAGATAGTTTGTTTGCTGCTGCTTGTGTGTCTATATTTTCAGTTGCATTGTGCAACAATTTTATCCATCATTGGGTCCATCTAATACCATTCTAGTACCATTCAGCAAAAATTACCACAACTTAAACGAGTCGTAAGTTATTTGTTTTTTGTAATACATAACTAATAGAATAAAACTTTTTTTTTTTTTTTTTGTTATTAAGGATGATATTGATCTTCCAACGAAAATTGGTTTTGGCGTTGATAATGCAATAATACATTTACCGAAAACAGCACCACATTGTGTACCACAAGAAATGCAAACATTTTTAGCAAAATTTATTGATGAATATTATCGTTTATTTGATACACGTGGTCGTAGTGAATTACATGCATGTTATCATGATTCATGTATGTTTTCATTATGTATTGCACCAACTGAAAGTTCAATTGTTCCAACAAAATCTTATAAATATGGTCCATTAATATAT